TGAGATATATTTTTAAAAGAATTTGGAGGAATTACACTCATAATATCAATACAGTAAAAATCTGTACAAAATTTTAATTTAAGCATTTAATTATATATGGAAAGGTATAAAAATAAACTCATCAAGGAATACAGCATTTACAGAAACATTCTAGGACTTCTGAAAATTCTGCCTCAGCTGGCTGTGTCTGAATGGTCTAGCTCTGAACCTCCTTGTTCTCCAATTTCCACAAGCTTCTAACACCTCAAAGACATGCTCCATCTCAAGGGAAGTGAGTTAATATGGGTCATTTCATTCCTTTTCTGGGACTAGATCCCCAGATAACCTGAGTTCTATCTCATGGGAACATAGGGAAATACCTAAGTACTTTCATTTCACCTGTTACTGGAATTGTTCTAAACCCAAAATTGTATGTGCTTCCTTATAAATAGATGCTTCCCAGAAATCCTTTAAAACAGAAGATAGAGTCTGGTGAGTTTTAAACTGCAGTCACTTAGGCAGGAGGAAAACTCTATACTGGCTCTGTGATTTTTAGCAAAGAATGTAACCTTGAGTTTATTCAATATCTAGGGGCTGACCTCTACAGTCCATGTTCCTGGTAGGTAGGGCTCCTTCTGGCACCATGATTCCATAGTAAGGAGTTAGACCCTGATGAGTGATAACTGATTTATCAGCTTCACACCAGCTAACATGACCAGTGATCTAGCAGGGTAGTTTAGCGTGAAAGGACTCTTTGATTAAAGGAAGTGAGGTCAGAATAGGTTTTAAGTGAAGAAGCAGAAGTTGAAATAGATTATTTAAACCTCTTTTTGCAGTGGTAATAATTAGTGGTCTATTTTCCTCTCCTAGTAAATGTATCCCTGCAATACTGAGGAGATAAGCTTGCTGTAAAGGGGCATTGAACCTGTGTACCACAGACTGAGGAACAAGCTAGCCCAATCAGAAAGACATGTTGGGGCTGTCTGTGTCTGTCTGCTTTTCAGACCACAGGTGATTATGTGGCTATTGTTTTAGAGAATATTTCATGAAGAGTATTTTTGCTATACTTTATCATTATAAGCTTAGTTTCCAGTGCTTGTAGGAGTTCATTGGGCTTTAGACTTGGAGATTTAATTTAAACATGCATGAGATAGAAGGGTGCATTTGGATATTAGGAAGTATTTACCGTTCTTCTAGGTAATTTTTCCACCTTGGATAATTAAGGGCTTTATCAATGATTAAACTATCCCCTATGTGAGGAAGTTTATTATGTAAAGCTGTGACAAGGGTCCTGGTAGAGAAGTCACAATAAATGACACGGCTCCAGCTCACTGTTCCCCTCTGCAAAACTACTGACCCCTGCCAAACTCAGCAAATAAACTGCTGATAAGGAGCTCTGGTAGCGTAGTGGTTACGAATCGGGCTGCGAACCTTAAGGTCAGCGGTTCGAAACTACCAGCCGCTCCGCGGGAGAACGATGAGGCTTTCTACTCCCGTAAGGATTTACACCCTCGGAAACCCTGTACAGGGTCGCTATGGGTCGGAACCGACTCGACGGCACTTAGCAACAACAAGGCTTGTTTACCAAATCCATTCCTTTTCTGTAAAACTTTTTGAATAAATTTTAAAATCTGTTTGGGAGGTAAGAACCAAATTCTCCAAAACTGTTCTAAGAACAGCCTAAATTTTGCTATGCCTCTCCAGTATTGGGTGCCCTGCTATCAGATTAGGAACTCCATTTCCTTTCTTTCCTGATGTACTTCATAAAATATACCATACAAATGTAGAATTCATAGAGCATTTAACAGCAAAAGTCAATTCCAAAGGTGAACTTTATTTAGTGCAAAGCTGAAGATTTCTGCAGATGTAATCTAAGCACTGTAAGACCAGAGCTTAATACTTTGAGGAAGAAACTACTTAATTATTCTTTACGTTATCCCCAGTAGGTGGGAATCTGCTCTGATTCACTTCTTCTGTGTCAGGCCACATGGAGATAATTGCTGACTCACTCTTAAAGCTGCCTCTCACTCATCTTAGGGGAAAGAGATCTTCCAAAATATAGAGCATTGCTCCTGAAAGCAGACAGCATCTTCTGGGTCCATTGCTCTCTGCCTGATTCTGGAAATGCTGTGTCCTTGTCCCTTTTTATTTTCTGTTAGGTTCATTCTATTATATTTCCATACCAGCAAGCGTACATCCTAATCTGAACCATATTTCATTTTTTTGTGTGTAACAAAAACTTCACATACAACAAAAAGAACCTCTCCTTTCTTTTTCCTTTCACTTGCATATTTTTCCCTTCACAAAATATATAGAAAATATGCAACAATTCAACATTTTCTACATGTACAGTTCAGGGACATTGATTATGTTCTCTAGTTGTGTGACTGTAGTGGTTCCTTCCCTCGTTACCATAAACTCACTGCTCCCAGAATTTCCTATGTAATCTTTCAAATGACTACTCATTTGGATCCTATTTGTTGTTGTTATTAAATGTCTCTGAGTCAGCTTCAACTGTTTTGTTGTCAGATGCTGTCACCTTGGTACCTACTCACAGAGACCTTATGCACAGCAGAGTGATTCACTGTCCTGCCCTGCACCACCTTCACCATCATTACTACTCTTGAGCTCATTGCTGCTGCCACTATTCCAATCCACATGGTTGGGGTCTTTCTCTCTTTCTATGACCCTCCACTTCACCACACATGATATCCTTTTCCAGTGACTGGTTCCTCCTGACAATATGTCTGAAGTATGAGATATGACATCTGCCTATCCTGGCTTCTAAGGAGCATTCTGACTATACTTCTTCCAACACAGATTTGTTTGTTCCTTTCACATTCCGTGGTACTTTCAATAGTCACCTCCAACACTATAACTTAAGTACATCAATTCTTCTCCGGACTTTTTAATTCAGTGTCCAACTTTCATATGCATATGAGGTTACTGAAAACACCATGGCTCAAACTGACATCTTTGCTGTTGAACACCTTAAAGAAACCTTGTGCAACCGATTTGCCTAATGCAATATATTATTTGATTCTTGATTACTGCTTCAATGAGTGATGATAGTGGAACCAAGAAAAATGAAGTCTTTGATAACTTCAATCTTTTATCCATTTATTATGATGTTATTTATAGGTCCATTTGTGAGGATTTTTGTTTTCTTTACATTGAGATGCAACCCATACTGATTGCTGTGGTCTTTGATCTTCATCAATACGTACTTTAAGCCTTCTTTGCTTTCAGTAAGCAAGGTTGTATCATCTGCATATTGCAGGTTGTTAATGAGTCTTCCTCCAACTCTGATGCCACTTTTTACTTCATATAATCCAGCTTCGGATTATGTGCTCAGCATAAGGATTGAAAAAGTCTGGTGAAAAATACAACTGTGGCATACATCTTTGTTAAGCTTTTACAATAATGGTCTTATGCAATATTTATCCTTTTGTGACTGACTAATTTCACTCAGCATAATGTACTCAAGGTTTATCCATGTTGTGTGGTTGTTTGCAGCTTGCTTGTTATTCTTCAAGATAGCATAAATTTCCATTGTGTGCATGCACTAAAGTTTATTTACCCATTCTTCTATTGATGGGCACTTAGTTTGCCTCCATCTTTTTGTTCTTGTGAATAGTGCTGTGATAAACATTGGTGTGCGTATATCTACTCGTGTTCTGGCTCGTATTTCTTGTGGATTTTATCAAGTAGAGGAATCATCTTTGTTGTCTTAGTGACCTTTTGCTTTCTTCATGTATGAGGTTCTTGATATCATCTCACAACTCGTCTTGTCTTCGGCCATTGTTGTGGTTGTTATGTGCCGTGGAGTCGGTTCCGACTCATAGCAACCCTGTGCAGGGTTTCCAAGGCCGCATATCTTTACAGGAGCAGAAAGCCTCATCTTTCTCTTGCGGAACAGCTGGTAGTTTTGAACTGTTGACCTTGAGATTTGCAGCCCTATTCATAACCACTACGCTACCAGATCTTTGGTCATTAGTGTCTAATTAATAGAATCTGTTCTTCAGGTGATCTCTAAATTCAGATGGGATACATTCAAGGTCATTTTTGACTCTCATGGACTAGCTTTCCTTTTCTTCAACATCAGCCTGAACTTGCATATGAGCAATTCAGGTCTCTCCCTCATCTGCCCCTTGCCTTGTGTTGATGTCTGTATCCACAGATGTCTACTGTCTGTATCCACAGATATAGTCGATGTGATTTCTGTTTATTGCATCAGTTGAGATCCATGTTTATAGTCATCTGATATGTTGTTTAAGAAAAGCATTTGCAATGAACACGTCATTAATCTTTCTAAATTACTGACTTATAGTGACCCCATTTAGGGTATCTGAAGAGTGGCTGTTTTGCAACTGTCGAACTTGCAGTTAAAAATCAACCTTGCTGTCAAGTGCTTTATCCTATAGTTCCACAACAGGACTCCATAGATTATATATAGATAGTTCTTAAAAGATCAGTATGCTCAAGGCAGACACTTTTTATTTTTAACTCCTATTTTATCCAATGTCTCAGTTTATTGCATCATGTCTTTATCCCATTGATATATTTTAAATATTTTTATCATTCTCATTCTTTTTTCTCTTCCCTCTCTTCCTTCTTGTTTTCTTTTTATGTTTTTCCTTTTGAACTAGGGCCTATCCTGTATAATACACATTTAGAAATTATTTAGGTTTGATAAAGTGAAATTGTTGATCTTTGTCTATTTTGACCTTCCAACATAACCCTTCCATATGGTTTATTAGTATATATTTAAAGTCATATAATATATGTAAATATGACATGAGGGTCATAGAAAAGAGAAGGAACAACAGCTGATCAATTATATGGGTGCCTACTCACTCAGGGGACAAGGATATGTATTCTATTTTAAGAAATCTAGATATCACAGTTGCAATTCCCAACCACTTTCAGCACCAGATGGAACTGTTAGCTTTAATAGCCATATTGATAGTTGGCTTTATTCTCAGGAAGCACGGCCCAGTGGATCTCAGATTGAAGAGGACATGTATAACATGAGCTGCTACAACCCTAGTTCCTTTATCCTTGTTGGCATACATGGCTTGGAGAAGATTCACATCTGGATTGGGATTCCCTTTTGTGTCATCTATGTTGTGGCTATTCTGGGCAATTGCATCCTCCTCTACCTCATTGTGGTTGATCACAGCCTTCATGAGCCTATGTTTTTTTTCCTCTCTATGCTGGCCACCACAGACCTCATCTTGTCCACTGCCTCAGTGCCCAAACTGCTCAGTAACTTGTGGCTTGGAGACCAGGAAATAACTTTCTCTGGTTGTCTCACCCAGATGTTCTTTCTCCACTTCAGCTCTGCAGTAGACTCTGCCATACTGTTGACTATGGCATTTGATCGCTATGTGGCCATCTGCTTCCCCTTGAGATACAGTGCCATCCTGACACCTCCGGTGATCATCAAACTTGTGGTGGGCATTCTTGTGAGGAGTTTTTCCATCATCTTCCCACTTGTTTTTCTGCTAAAACGGTTGCCCTTTTGTTGGACAAGGGTCATCCCACACACATACTGTGAACATATAGGGGTTGCTCAACTTTCCTCTGCTGATATTTCCATCAACATTTGGTATGGGTTTGCTGTACCACTTATGATTGTCATCTCAGATGTAATCTTTATTGCTATTTCCTACGCCTTCATCCTTCGTGCTGTTTTTCAGCTCTCATCCCAAGGTGCCCGTCAAAAGGCCCTTAGTACCTGTGGATCCCATGTCTGTGTTATCCTTATGTTTTATACCCCTGCCCTTTTCTCTGTTCTTGCTCATCGTTTTGGACACAGTGTTCCTAGACATGTGCTCATCCTGTTTGCCAACCTCTATGTGGCTATCCCTCCTGCTCTAAATCCTATTGTTTATGGAGTGAAGACCAAGCAGATCCAGGAGAAATTTATTCTCCTCTTCTCTTTGAAGAAAACGTAATGAATGTGAAGGACCAACAAAGGAGATGTTTATGTAAAATTAATTTGCAAAATATTATATAACTCAGGAAGAAAAAATAAAGCTGTGACTCCCATTAATTTGAAATTTCCTACTCATGTGCAATGGAAATGGAGGAGGGATAGGAAGAATGAAATGACTCTATATTTCATGCTACCAATAAAATTGTTATGTTTGTATTTATGTATTATGTATCTATAGTGTGAACTCCTTTAAGGAAAAAAACAGATTTAGTTATCTTCTTATACGCTGCCCTGTGAAAATATCTGACATTTGACAAGATTCCTCGTATGAGAATTGTGCATATTAAAACTTCATCAGAAAGCCTTACTTGTTATCCCTCACTTTTCTTTTTGTTCCTTCTCTATCAAGCTTAGATTTCATAATCCATTGTCATAACCCATTGTTTTTTTTTAGGTTTATTTATTTATTTATAATGTTTTATTTTAAGTTATGTGATAGTTTACATGGGAGAACATTAGTTTTACATTCGTTCTTTCGTATATCGTTTCATTGCCATGGTTACAATCCCCTCCATGCATCATCCACCAACCAAAGGGTATACCCTGCAAGCCTGCCCCCACACCCTTCCCCCAGGTCTTCAGCACACATTCGTTCTCCCTCTCTGGATCTAAAGTTCCCAGCTGCTCCATTTCTCCAAGTCATCATCTCTGTATCCATCTCAGGCATCACTGCTTCTCTGGGTAGGGTGCCGCACTCCACTCTTCTCCATTAATGGTCCTACAGACCTCCACTCCTAGACTGTAAAGTTAATCACTCCCTTCCTTGCTATAAAACATCTACCTTTACATTTCCAACCCTCACAATCAGTCCTGATAACCATTATTCATTATTGTATCACAAGAGACCCATCTGCATTTCATTTCATCAGCTCCGCCTAGACAGATTGGATACAACTCACTAGAGATTCTGCCTTCCTCCTGGCTCCATGGCTCTAGGTTCCCTCTTGAAAGCTTGTAAGCCAGTCACTTCTTGCCTTTGTATAACCCATTGTTTTGCTATAAGAAAAACAACACTAATTGATTTTCTCTCAGTTTAAGAAGGTTCTTATCTCTTTGTTCCTTAGTTACCATCATGTGGTTTGGTATCTACCTTACCCCATCTCTGCTTGCTTACTTTATCAATTGGTAAGTCAGTTTTATTTATTTATTTATTTATTTAATATATCAAAAGAGACTGACTTATGACACATCTTACACTAATACTGTATTATTAATGAAAGAAAGAAAACCTACTTCCTATTGGGATTTGTTGTTAGGTGCCATCAAGTTTGAACTCCCTTATAGAGACCCTATACACAACAGAATGAAACACTGCCCAGGCCTGGGCCAACCTCACAATCATTGTTACGTTTGAGCCTATTGATGCTGCCATGGTGCCAATCCATCTCACTGGAGGTCTTTCTCTTTCTTCTGGCCCTTCACCTCACCAAACATGATTTCCTTCCCCAGTGCCTGGTCTCTCCTGACAATGTGTCCTAAGTATGAGGAATGAAGTCTGACCATCCTGGCTTCCAAAGAGCACTCTGACTGTACTTCTTCCAACACATATCTATTTGTTCTTTTGGCAGTCCAAGGTACTTTCAGTATTTTCCTCCAATACTGTAACTCACATGCATCAATTCTTCTAAGATCTTCCTTATTCACTGTCCAACTTTTCCATGCATACAAGGTTATTGAAAATACCATGGATTGAGTCAAGTGCAGCTTAGTGCTCAAACTGCTCTTCAACATTTAGGTCTTAAAAGACCTCATGGGCTAGAGAGTAGGATTTATCATACATATTTTTGGAGGGACACAATTCAATCCATAACATCCATCATTTCAGCCATTGCTTTGCTTATACCCTACACTTACTTGTCTCTCCACTTCACCCACCTGGAAAAATATCTGAGGAATTGTGATGAATTGTACTGTAAATTTTGGAGAACTTAGAGAAAGTGACCTCACAGGGCAGACTGATACTACCATTAATGGATTAAGACACTCTTCCGGCCATACTTTCCTAATTTCATCTTCTCAAATGCTCCACATTTCTCCTTGTTGTTTCTTCATGTGATGCTCTTTATTCCTCTTTGTTTGGTAAACTGCTACTTACAGGCAGTTTTCAATTAAACGCATTTCCACAAATATTCTATCTTTGCTGCTGCAGACTAGATTAATATCCTTTCTATGCATTCTTATTGCACAATGTCCTTTGATCTCTATCATGTATCACAATTTTAATAAAGTGGTTTCTTGCATAATTAGCTTTTTAATGTCCATTCCCATCATTCGGTCATTGAGAATCAGGTCAGTGTCTGCATTGTTCATTATTCTATTTCCAACTCATGTAAAATTCCTAGCACACTCAATAAATATTTGTAGAATAAAAGAATAGAAACAGATGAATATTAATTACCAAATGAAATTCCTATTTTACATAGTAGGAATCTGTTTGGGATTATAATGCCATCTGATGTGGAGGAGAATTTTGGAAAGCCATGGGAACATTTGTATGTTCTCCATAGTAGGCTTACAGTTGTTATCCCCACTTATTTCTCAAAGATCTTCTCTGAAATAAAAATTTCCAATATATTACTACCACTTTAGAAATGTGAAAACTGATGTCCAATGGAGTAAAATATTTCACAAGAGCATAAAGGAAGAAGATCAAGGATAGTTATCCTATTTTTGACCCTCAAAATATCCTGAAATTAGACTTCCTTACTGGGTTGATGGGAGTTTATGTGAGGGCAATTTTCCTGCTAGAAGTACTGGACTATTAGACTTAGGTCTGATATCAGTACATTTCAGAGTTGCATGTACTCTGTGCTAGGGATTTTCCCTACCCAGATAGATGAATAACCTATGCTTTAAACAAAGGACTCAGTATAAAGTGAATGATGGTTCATCACTCAAGGAACATAAAAAGAACTTTCAAGCAAGACTGGACATTGAAGAAAATATCTGAAAAGAGAGACTTAGTTACATTTGGGGAGATGCAGCTGTAGTGACCAATGTCATCAGGGTTTTGTTATCTAACATCAGGTGGGGATGACTTCAATTCAACAGACGTTTACTGAGCACTCACTGTGAATTAAGCTTTGCCAGAAATTCAGTAGAAGATGAAACAGTCTCTATAGAGGAATTTGAGGAGTTCTAGACTGGGCCAGGAACATAGTAGATTTGATTCCTGCCAGGGCTTATTTATCAAGTTGCTGATAAAGCTGCATCAAGACCTGGTGAGACTCAGGTATCCTACCTTCTTGGATTCCAAAATTCCTATGTCAGTATGAGAGAAAATGTAGATTCCTAAGCTCTGGAAGTGTTCATGTGTTTGAATTCTTGCTTGTATCATACACTAAGACTTGCAACCTTGAGATCTGGAATCAGTAGTTTCCCCTGGCTCACAACCCCTCCTGATTAACTTGTCTCCAATTTCTCAAAAGACTAGGGGTGAACATTTACACATCACTTCCTGGACTGTTTTTGTTGTTTCCTACTGTGAATATAAGGAGCTCTGGTAGCATAGTGGTTACAAATCGGGCTGCTAAACTCAAGGTCCACAGTTCAAAACTACCAGCTATTCCGCAGGAGAAAGATGAGGCTTTCTGCTCCCGTAAAGATTTACAGTCTCAGAAACCCTATGCAGGACCAGAATCTCCAAGGTATAAACTGCTGGTGGTGGGAGGGTAGTATGGAACGGATGGGGAGTAGAGCTGATGAGGAATAGAGCTGGTGAAGATAAAAGAAGGAGGTGAGGAGATGCTGTGCACAAGGAAATATGAAAGGCCAAGTTCAGACTTGTGTATAGATTCTAGAAGTAACACTCATGGGACAAAATACAGTGAAAAGGGTGAGTTTCTTAGGATATGAATTATGGGCTCTTTAGAGGTCCACACCCAAAACATGTTTTTTTCCCCCTGGAGGTCAAAATTTCTAAAGCTTGACATGTAAGGAAAATTAAAGGGAATGTATTGTTTTTGACTGATTTAGGAATACCAGACTGAGAATAGTCATCTGCATACTGGTATCTGATAGGCTATTTCAGTGCCTTTTCTGCAAGCATACATTGACAGAGAACTTCAAGAGGTTCAGGTTGGGCTCAGAAGAGGACGTAGAATGAGGGTATCATTGCTGATGTCTGATGGATCTTGGCTGAAAGCAGAGAATACCAGGAAGATGTTTACCTGTGTTTTATTGACTACGCACAGGCTTTCAATTGAGTGGATCATGACAAGCTATGGACAATATTGTGACGTATGAGTATTCCTGAACTATTCATTGTGCTCATGAGGAATCTGTACATGGACCAAGAGGCAGTTGTTCAAACAGAACATGGGAACACTGAATGGTTTAAAATTAAGAAAAGTGTGCAACAGGGTTGTATTCTTTCACCATACTTATCCAACTTGTATGCTGAGCAAATAATAGGAGAACGTGGGTTATATGAAGAAAAATGTGACAAAAACATTGCACATCATTAACAATGTGCAATATGCAGATGATACAACCTTACTTGCTGAAAGTGAAGAGGACTTAAAAGTATTTACCGATGAAGACCCAAGAGCACAGCCTTTGGTATGGATTACATCTCAATGTAAAGAAAACAAAAATCCTCACCACGGACCAATAAACAACAGTCTTATCAACAGAGAAAAGACTGAAGTTGTCAAGAACTTCTTTCTTCTCGGATCAACTATCAACACTCAAGGAAGAAGCAGTCAAGAAATCAAAGGACGTATTGCATTAGGCAAATCTGCTGCACAAGACCTTTTTAAAGTGTTGAAGAGCAAAGATGTCAGCTTGAGAACTAAGGTGTGCCTGACCCAAGCCATGGTATTTTCAATAACTTCATATGCATGAGAAAGCTGGGTAGTGAATAAGGAAGACCATAGAAGAATTGAGGCTTTTAAGTTATGGTGTTTGAGGAGAATATTGAAAGTGCCATGAACTGCCAAAAGAACCAACAGATCTGTG